AATTGATTTCGTAATCCAATGTACTATTGAAATTTGAATAAGACCAGGTGTGTGTTACTGCTCGAGCCCAAGGGATCTCAGGGCTGTCAGAACTGATTTAAGGGCTTTTCACAGGCATTCTGAGACTGTCTCCAAAGGAATCAACCCTGTACGTTCAGCCGTGTCAATTCTAATTGATTTCATAATCCATGTACTATTGAAATTTGAATAAGCGCAGGTACGTGTTACCACTCGTGACTGAGGGATCTCAGGGCTGTCGCTCCACTTCAGGCACCTACTTTGGCCCACTCTGAGACTGTCTCAAAAGGAATCAACCCTGTACATTCAGCCGCGTCGATTCTAATTGATTTCGTAATCCATGTACTATTAGAATATGAATAAGCCCAGGTGCGTGTTACTACTCTTCCCTGAGAGAACTCACGGCTGTCAGAACCCTTCAGGCACCTACTGTGGCCCAATCTGAGACTGTCTCAAAAGGAATCAACCCTGTACGTTCAGCCGTGTTGATTCATTTCGATTTCGAAATCCATGTACTATTAAAATTCGAATAAGTGCAGGTGTGTGTTACTTCTTTTGCCCGATGTTCTTGATCCGGGGTGCAAGTAGGCTGGGCTATTTTGACTGTCACAAAAGGGATGAACCCTGTACGTTCAGCCGTGTCGATTCAATTCGATTTCGAAATCCATGTACTATTGAAATTCGAATAAGCCTAGGTGCGTGTTACTACTTGTGCCTGAGAGAACTCAGGGCTGTCAGAACACTTCTCAGGGGTTTTCGCAATCATTATGAGCCGGTCTCAAAAGGAATTAACCCTGTATGTTCCCCCGTGTTGATTCAATTCGATTTCGAAATCCATGTACTATTGAAATTCGAATAAGCCTATGTGTGTGTTACTACTCGTGCCTGAGAGAAGTCAGTGCTGTCAGAACACTTCAGGCATCTATTTTGGGACATCTGAGACTGTCTGAAAAGGAATTAACCCTGTACGTTCAGCGTGTCGATTCATTTCGATTTCGAATTCATGTACTATTCAAATTCGAATAAGCCTAGGTGTGTGTTACTACTCGTGCCTGAGAGAACTCAGGGCTGTCAGAACACTTCAGGCACCTACTTTGGCCCAATTTGAGACTGTCTCAAAAGGAATTAACCCTGTACGTTCCCCCGTGTTGATTCAATTCGATTTCGAAATCCATGTACTATTGAAATTGGAATAAGCCTAGGTGTGTGTTACTACTCGTGCCTGAGAGAACTCAGGGCTGTCAGTCCACTTCAGGCACCTACTTTGGCCCATTCTGAGACTGTCTCAAAAGGAATCAACCCTGTACGTTCAGCCGTGTTGATTCATTTCGATTTCGAAATCCATGTACTATTGAAATTGGAATAAGCCTAGGTGTGTGTTACTACTCGTGCCTGAGAGAACTCAGGGCTGTCAGTCCACTTCAGGCACCTACTTTGGCCCATTCTGAGACTGTCTCAAAAGGAATCAACCCTGTACGTTCCGCCGTGTCGATTCAATTCGATTTCGAAATCCATGTACTATTGAAATTCGAATAAGCCTAGGTGTGTGTTACTACTCGTGCCTGAGAGAAGTCAGTGCTGTCAGAACACTTCAGGCACCTATTTTGGGACAATCTGAGACTGTCTCAAAAGGAACTAACCCTGTACATTCAGCGGTGTTGATTCAATTCGATTTCGAAATCCATGTACTATTCAAATTCGAATAAGCCTAGGTGTGTGTTACTACTCGTGCCTGAGAGAACTCAGGGGCTGTCAGAACACTTCAGGCACCTACTTTGGCCCAGTTTGAGACTGTCTCAAAAGGAAATAACCCTGTACGTTCCCCCGTGTTGATTCAATTCGATTTCGAAATCCATGTACTTATTTGAAATTTCGAATAAGCCTAGGTGTGTGTTACTACCTCCTGCCTGAGAGGAACTCAGGGCCTGTCAGAACCACCTTCAGGCCACCCTACCTTGTGGGCCCCCATTTCCTGAGGACTGTCCTCAAAAAGGGAAATTGAAACCCCTTGGTTACGGTTCCCCCGTGTTGATTCAATTCGATTTCGAAATCCATGT